TTTATGAATGTGAAATCGTACTACTACCAGAAACGATGACAACAGGTATTTGACCAAAATGGTCAACATATAATTTAATAAAATATTTATTTATTATAAGAATATTGCGTTTTTTTCCACAGAAAAAAAACGAACTCACTTTCCAAACAACCCAATACATAAGTAGGTAGTTTTCATTTAATTTATTACCTTTTCTTGGTCTCTTAAAAAATAACTTAGTTATATTACTTTTCCTTTTATCTTTTACATAAATAAGCAAAAAATTATGCTTTCTTGAACTTGAAATGTATGTTCAGCATTAATAAAAGTACCAAAATGATTAATTTACTGTGTTTTTGTTATTTCTTACTCCTTTTTAGGTATTCAGCCGAATAGCGAAACCTAGACCGAATACAGAATATTTGTTGCATCATTATTAAGAACAAGTTGGGCTTCCTCTGATAACAACTAGATATTGATTCATCCAAATTTTTATAAGTTTTGTCTATTAAATTCAAAACTCTGATGATGATGTTTTTAAGCTCAGTTTTGTTTGTTATTGACTAGCATACCCTGTCGCAGCCTTGCCTGCTCTTATATACATATGGAACTTTGAAAATTTGAACTAATTGTTCATTAATTATTTTTTGGTGATCAATGTCTAGTATTGCAGAATATACAAAAAATAAAATCATAAAACTTCTAAATAAGTTATATTTCGAGTTTTGTCACCCGTTGGTATCAAAATTATTTGATTGTTATGATTTCCAGTTCTGGAAAGCCCTACATACAATTGGCCATGGAAGAAACTGCATACAAAGATTTACTCTAACATGTTGGAATGTTTGGCCTTGCAATTTGTTAATTGTAATAGCAAAAGAAACTTTAATTGGAAATTGGAAATGTTTAAATTGAAATGGTAGATCTGTAGGAATCATTGGGATTCTAGGAATAAATGCAATTTCCCCAGTCACTGGTCCAGTGAGAAGTATAGCTTCAATGATATTGTCATGCATAGCTGTAATTTGTAACCTGGTACCATTACAGAGATTGGGAGGTTGAACATTACATAACAACATAATTGGAGAACCAATTTTGAATTTTAATTTATGTGGTGGGTGTCCAGATGGGCTAAGACCATTAAGAAACTATTGTGGATAATGGACTACATCATCAGTGTTTAAAACTGTATCAATTGATAGATAATCTCGGTTGTTACCAATGACTTTTTCAAGAATAATGTTATTTATTTATGCCGTTATATTTCTAGGTGAAATTATGGCCCTTTCACACAACAAAAGATATGGTTTATTCAATAAATCTGAAATATCAGTATAAATTTCAGAAATCAAATCATTGACTGTACTGACTATCTTATCTGTGTTTTGACTGACAGTTATGTAGCCATTTTCATTGTCAACTGTTCCATCACCAATTTTCAATAACTGTTTGGAATTTGTTGCTCTTCCAGTCTTTGAGACCACTTTGCCATAGATTCACGTAGATTGTCTACAGTTATGAATTTTTTCCTCCTTTTCATGCTCTCACAGCTCTTGGCATTATTTATCAATCAATCTCAAAAATATTCACTTGAGATAAATCCAATAACTGTTTTGAATATTTTGTGCAATTACCTGTAGAAATTAATCCATAACGATTCAAAAACCCACCATAAGTACACATACTGCCATCTAGCGTGATGACATCACTTTTTTAATTTCTCAAAGATTTTGCTAATTATAATTTAATGTCAGTTCTTCAAATATAATAGTTAACTTCAAGGCATTATCTAAAACTGTCAAGGCATTATCTAAAAGAACTGTCAAGGCATTATCTAAAAGAACTGTCAAGGCAACTGTCAAGGCATTATCTAAAAGAAAAGTCTATTAATAGACTTTTCTTTTAGATAATGCCTTGACAGAAAGTATTAATTCATGTGTTGCCATCTAGTGAAGAGAGAGACAAATAGACAGACAGAAATCCGTTGCAGTTTATTTAATTAATAAAAAATCTGTAGGTTTGATTAGTAGTAAACATTCCAGGGATCATAAAGATGCTACAGTTAAAATTTGGTAACAATTGGTTCAGTAATTTTCACGGTTAGTCGTCACAAACAAAAATACATTCTCTTTATATAGTAATATAGATTCCGTTCTGATTGATTGTTTAATGTGATCTTATAAATGTTCAGTTGGGTTGAGGTCAGGCAATTGTGGAGGCCAAGGAAGAACTTTTATATTTTAGGACGTCTAATTTAAGCCTTATTATGCTTTTATATAGTGCACATCAAGAAACTGACTGATTTTCAAAGTGTGCTTTGGATCATTTTCATGCTGGAAAACAAACCCTTGATATTTTAATCTTACTCTGACTTTAATTTTCTTATTGATTTCTGAACATTGTTATTTAAAATCTATTTATACACATATTGATTTATTATGCCATTAACATATTTCAGAGTTCCAGCCCTATTTGCAGACATACAACTCCAAATAGCACTAAATGTGAAGACAGTTGTCTTCACATTTCACTTTAGGGATAAAATTTTTTTTAAAGATTCTCCAGCTTTTCTCTGTACTTTCAGGCAATCATTTGAACCAAACACATTGAATTTGGATCATCTGAACTCAAAACTGATTTCCAAAATGTTACTGATTTTGTATAAAGCTCTTTTACAAACTTTAACCTCTTGAAGTTTTTCTGACAGTTTCTGCAGATGTTTGAATTCCACATTCTACAGAAGTCTCAAAAGCAATCTTAGGAGCAATTATTCGTGGATTTTTCTTCACTTTCCTGACAATGACATGTTTCTGTCTTGAGGTAAATATTTTAGAACATCAATTCAAGCCTTATTAACTACACTATTGTAAGGAATTTCATAATGGTATCTTGAATTGTGGATTTTGGAATGTGAAACTGTTTTGCACGGTTTTACAGATTTCCTCTTTTGCTATTCCTTAATAACAAGTTCTTTAATTTGTTTGTTTTCATTGTTCACAATAACAAAATAAAACAATTTAAGTATGAAATTAATTCTTTAACTCATTTGTTGTGACAAGTTATTGTAAACATGTGTTTAAGCAAATGATATGACACTTTCTATCATTTATTTCCTTTGTCCAGATACTTTTGTGAAGTGAAAATTTTCATAGTTTGAAATAAAATTGTATTTCTGTTTTTGATCAATATTTTTTGCACATGTAAATATTTATTCTAGTGTAAAAAAGTCTGAAGATTTCACATCTGTCATTACTTTTTTCTATTTCATGCAAGAAATGAGTTATAACTAGAAAACTCTTCCATTTTATAAGTGTCTGGATACTTTTTGACCTAGAGTAGGTAATTGTTAAATCCTTTAGAATTACAATAAAAATTAAATAATTCAAATAACGTTTATTATAATAAATTACAATATTTGGAACCCCGGTTAACGAATGTCCTGCTTAATGACATCATTCCATTATATATATCTTTTATAATAATAATGAGAGTTGGCAAATTGTTAATATGATGAAAATAAATCACCATTGAATAAACTGCACATGGACAACCCAAAACCAGGATAATTTTATTATGATGATTTACAAATGAATTTTGAACACATTTCCATACCATCCTTCTTTTTTATTAAAAAAATCACTAATAGATCTTTGTAAAAACCTATTGTTACAACATTTTTTAAAGTAGTGCACAAGTAAATGTTTTAACCTAATAAATTCAATTGACAGTATTCATGTCAAAGTGCCATAGTATGATAAACTTTCTTTAGACATTTTTATGATATACTGCTATTTAGTCCACTCTCAACAAGACTAGTAACATATCACAAAATTGTTTATTTAAAAGTTATGGCAAACATTTTTAAAGAATATAACTGTGATTACATATGAAACTCAATGATATGAACTAAAGACTAAATATGAATATGAATTTACAACTCCAAATTTACCAAACTACCAAATTTTTGAATTTTTAAATAAAACAGATTTTTTTCTTTTTGTAAATTTTGTTTGATATACCATATTTAATATATATTACATACAAGGTCTGTTCAAAAAGTATCGGACCTTATTTTTTTCCGCGTAAACCAATGATTGCGAGAGAGGCCTCCTTCGGTGGAGTTGTGGAGGGGACAGTCATGCACAGCCCTGAATTTTTTCCCGCCTGCAGAAAGCGTCAGTCGTTGGCAATCGGCGTATGAGTGAGGTCATGTAGTGCGCTCTCGTCGGATTTCACTAAGCTGGAAAATGACTGAACAACGTGAGCAGCGATATTACATCAAATTTTGCCAAAAACCTTGGCGATACCCGAGTGTAAACCATTCGCAAGATTCAGCAGGCTTTCGGGGACGATCCTCGAGGCCAAAAAAAGCGCGGCAGGTCCGCAGCAATATCAAAGGTCATGTTGACAGTTTTTTCGACTCTTGTGGGGTGGTGTGTCGTGAGTACACACCACAAGGCCAAACCATCCCAAAGGAGTACTACCAGGAGGTCCTTCGTCGTCTTTCGGATACAGTGCGATGCAAACGATGGGATCTGTGGTCGATCAAAACTTGGCAGCTCCATCGTGATAACGCATCCGCTCATTCTGTGCATCTGATTCGGGCTTTCGTCGCCAAACACAATACTCCTGTGGTTCGTCACGCTCCGTACTCTCCCCACATGGCTCCGTGTGACCTTTGGCTATTTCTCAAGCTGAAAATGCCGCTAAAAGGAACCCGATTTTAGTCGAGAGAAGACATCATGCGAAATGTGACGGACCGGCTGATAACCATTCCAAAAGATGCGTTCCAGCAGTGTTTCCAGCAATGGCAGGAATGCTGGGAGAAGTGTATACATTACCAAGGAGACTACTTTGAAGGGGATTAGGGTTTTGTACCTCAAAGTCAATAAATTTATTTTTGCCGACGAAAGGTCCGATACTTTTTGAACAGACCTTGTATATGTGTATGTGCACTAAATTTTAAAAAATTAAAATAATAGAACTTTTTCTTTATGAAATAAATATTTTTGTTATTTCAGTTCCACTGATAGTTTTGACAAAGCTAGGCATATAGCCAAAATGTTTTTCTCTCAAAGAAATGGTAATTCACAGCATACCATACTGGCAGTCGGAAATTGTCATATTGACTGTGCCTGGCTCTGGCCTTATGAAGAGACTGTTCGAAAATGTGCACGAAGTTGGGCCTCTGTAATAAGGTTGATGGAAAAGTATTCAGATTTTAATTTTGCTTGTTCACAGGTAATTAAATTTGCAGAAATATAACTGAAATTATTATATATTATTAAAAAATATATTATCAAAAATTATTGTTAAATTATGAATTCTATAGTGCATTAGAATATTTAATCTAAAGTAAGTTAAAACTAAAAGCTGTATTTATAATAAAAGTTTTAGGTTTATTATGATTCTAGAATTTAAATATTTCTGGAAATGCTTTCACAAAAATAAAATTCAATTTCTTGCTTAAATTTGGAAAATAATAGGAGTGTTCAAAAGTTTTGGAAATGAGTCAAAAAATTAAAACAGGTTTGGATATAAATAAATTTATTAAAAAGTTTCAAAATAATGCCCTTGAGCTTCAATACACTTTCTCCAACAATTTCCCTTATTCAGAAACATTTAGAAAATTCAACTTTCTTAGGGATTGCAAAATACTCTTATTTTGTCTTGTATGAGTTCTATTGGCTCAAACTTATTTTTGAGTTAATAGAATTATACATTTTTTAGTTTTGGGAAAAGAAAAAATCATTAGAAAACCAGTAGAGAAAATGTAACCTTTATTCAAAGTTGAAAAAAATTTAAAAGGAAAATGGTTTTTGTTAATAGAACTTGTGCATTCATATAAGATGAATAAAGGAATTTTTCTGTTCCTGAAAGAAGCCAATTCATTTAGATATTTTCTAAAGTTGAGAAATTGTTGGAGAGAGTGTATTGAAGTTCAGTGATTATTTTGAACAATTATAAAAAATTTATTTAATATTTAACATGTTTTGATTGTTTGATCTATTTCTGGAATCTTTAGAATATTTACATAATTTGAAAATAGAAAAGATTTTATAGTATGTGTAGTGTGATATTTATACAAATACAGTGGAACCCCGGTTAACGAATGTCCTGCTTAATGACCAAATCAGTTAACGAACTTTCATTTTGCAAAAATTTTGTCTCGGATAACAAACTTAACGGTTTTTTGTGTCAAATTTGTAAGCTTGCTGACTTTTAGGGGGAATCAGTTAATTGTGTGTCGGTGATAGTCTAGGGTCCATTCGTATGTTGGTGGTGACGGAGGAGACAAAGATGACAAGTATTTTACAGTGAAAATCGTTTATTAGAACGCGAAGATGCTTACATATTTGAGATGGTTGGAAATGGCTTATCTACAGTATTTTCTCTTGGCACTGAGGAGTGGCGTATCGCTGGTCCTACGATAGTGCAAGCTGATCAGTCGTAGCCCCAGAGCGGACGAGATGGGTTCGCTTGGTCAAAGAAGCGATGGCAGGTGACAGAGCTGCAACGACTGGAGCCATGCAGGAGGAACAGATGACAAGAAGAGCATTTGTCAGAGGAAGAGGCTAGGGAGGAAATCATCAGTGCTGAGATCAAGGAAATTTGCAGAAGAAAATGGAATGATGTGCAGGAATTTATCAAGAAGCACCATCCTAACAAAGTTGTGGCTAATAGGGTCATTAATTTAATGAATGACACTGTGCTAGCGCATTTTAGAAAAATTTTGATTAAGAGAGTAAGACAATCAACTTTAGACCATTTTCTTGTTCCTTATCAAAAGAGACCTCGACTCAAAGAAACTCCCAATGCAGTGCTACTTGATATTTTTATGGAGGAGGATTCCTCTTTTAAGCATTAAGCTTCGTAGAAACAAAGGTATGTACAGTGCTACTTTATTAAATAAAGTTTACATATTTGTTGCTGTAATGATAGATACTACATTTTCTTATATTTTCATCAAAGAAAACCCATTTTACAAATAAAATTACAAAAATACTGACGGCTAGAATGGATTAATTCTATTTGCATTAATTTCTATGGGAAAAATTGCTTTGGTTAACGAATGGACTCGTGGAACGGATTACATTCGTTAACCGGGGTTCCATTGTATATATTATTAAAAACCAAATTCCAATAACAAAAGTACTTTAAATGTAGAAGAAAAAAATATTAATGTAAATATATAAAAATATATCCTGTATTGAGTATTACCAAGTAATTTTATATAACATAAAAAACTATGCTGTTAAGCATATATGTAAACATAAATATATTAACACTATATATTTTACTTTAAATTAGTTTTTGTCAATTATTCTATTTTAAAGTTGTGATTATATATTTAGGATTTTTTATTAAAATTAATGTTTTCAACAGTTTACAAGAAAGCAAGAGAGGGAAAGCTATTATAAGATTTTCTGAGTCTAATTTGAATTCTTTTTTTACATAAATACAGTAGTCTAAATTTGTAGACCTCAAGAGTACATTAGATAATCAAAAAGTTAGATAATATTGAGTATTTGATAAATTACCAATTAAACTGGATTTGGATGCATTAGCATATATAATATATTCTATGATTAGGCTAGATTTATTTGTTGGTTGTAATGACTTTTTATACAATAAAACATTTTTACTTACATGTGTATTTATTAAAGAAAATGTAAACCTATGATTACAATTAAAATATGTATTATTGTAAGAAGTTACCAGAGAGAATTCTTTTCAAAATGTCTAAAGTCCCTTTTAAGTAGTGCACATTGCTCAACCAAGATTTGCAAAATGAACTTTAATTTACTAAGATTTATTGACAAAGTACTCTTTCATGATTCAACTCAGATAATTTGAAACCTCAGTTAAACAGATCTCAGTTAATCAGTATTACTGTAATAATTTAGGATCCTTATTGCATCCTAAATTAGAAACAGTGTTCCAATTTAATGTAGAATTATTTCATAGTTTTTCAAAGCTAATTCAGTTTGTCCATTTTAATAGCTATTTAATCTTTATTCTATTTCTATAATAATTCTAATTGTGACATTATTATACTTAGTACCAGTAATAAGCAATTGGACTGAAAAGAATATTGGAAAAATATAAAGAAATACATTTAAATTTAACATTAAATTTAAGTTTATATTTTCTTGGCTGTTTTTGATGTAATTAAATATAAGCATCTGATTTCTCAAAGACATTAAATGAAATGATAAGTCTTCTTACAAATAAAAAATAACATAAAAATTTAGATTTACTATGGTAGAAAATTGATTTTAAAAATTGAATGATATTACTATTAATAAAAGTGAAGTTTTTTTTTGATGTTATTTAAATTGTTATTTTAAAAGCACATTCAAAAATCATTATACTGTTTTTTTTTTATTGATTAAAGAATAAAATTATTTTTAGATCAATTATATTACAAGAAATCCTCATTAATTCAAAATTTAGGGGACCAAATAATCACAACTTCAAAATATTGAGTTTCAAATTATCCAAGACTTACAAATTTCAGTACAATATGTCAAATGCCTTGCAATTGATATAATTTATTAAGAAAATGGAATACAGCTATGTATACAGAATGCTAATTTTTTAAATTAATAATTAGTAGTAGTAATATAAATAATGTTATGCATACTAAAAATATCATACAAACAACCTTTTCACTTTCCAGCACATTTATTTAATGATTGGACAAATGCTTTTGACCTGTTTTATAGATTAACTTCAGGTCTACCTGTACATTAATGTATTTTTGTTCTAGAACATTAGAATATTGAAAATTTGTTTGAAAAAAAGCATGATTTTTAAATTTTGGAATTTTACAAAAAAAATAAAGTAATGAAATTTAGGATGCTTATGAATATGAATACATGATTCAACCAACAGTCCACACCATACTGGAAATAACTAGCTGTTCCACATGGAACACGAATGACATCTGCTTGCCAGAATGAAAAGAATAGATGCATGGCTACATCTATCTTGGGTGATGTGAAAATTAAATATTTCATTCCTGCCAAGATTGGTGCTCATTTAAATGAAAATTTCCAGCTTACTGTTTATTGTTTAATTACCATTATATTGTTATGTTACATCAGATTTTGTTTTGTTACCACCCACTTCTGAAAAAAATTATTTTAAATTAAATGTTTAGGAAGACTGACATTTATTTCTGTCAAAGAAAATCACAAAGAACAATTACTGATAGATGAAAAAGAAATGAAAAACTACAATCTATATAAAATATGCTAAGGCAAAAATCTGTTTCCAATTCATAAAAGTACTATTATTGTATACCAAGAAATTTTATGTGTTATATTAATAAATTTTATATAAATAAATTTATTTGTTTTATTTTTCCTATTTATTTATAATTTACTGTAACAACAAATTTTATAGCAAATATTTTACTAGGTACAACTTGTGTGTGTTTGTTGTTGTTGTAGTAGTAAAATAAGAATATTTAATATATTTAATTTAAAAATAAAATAAAATTTATCAAATTACATCAAATCATCAATAAGTCATACAAGTGAAAATTGAATTTCCAATGTCAAAATTAGCATATAATTATTTAAACTTGAAAAATATCATTATTGTGAAATAATTTGTTTGAAGTATGTGCTTTGCCAGAAGTGTTTTATATATAAATAAAATTTCTAGTGATTTACAATTATCTGGAGCAATCTAAAAATATATTTGCAATCATAAGTACAGTAGACTGTCCATTAACTGGAACTCAAGCAACTAGCACTCTTAAGCAACTGGCAAAAAATTGAAGAAATAATAATTTAAATAAAAATCAAAGTAAAATCAATTTCTAGCAGAAATTTAAGTTTAAAAAAAATTGTTAGTGAAGTTCATTAAGTTGAAGTTATTGACTACTATTTAACTAAAATTGTACACTGCATTTGCAAAGCTATTTTATAATAAAACTGTGTTAATCTTTGTCTTAATTTGCTTTTAATTACTGTTTCAATGTTAATATCAAATCAATACAGAGTTTATGATATGTTGTAGTGTGAAGTATAGTATTAGGCTTATTTTTAATAGCAACTCTCAAGCAACCAGAAGCTACATCAATCTGGCATCTTATCAATTCTCACAGGTGCTGGTTAACTGAGAGTCTACTATATTTTTTTTACATTTGAAATATTTTTGTAGCAGATAAATTATGGAAAGAAAAATATTACTTTCTTGTATGTTAGATAATTAGAAAACAGTTCATTTTTAATTATATATAATAAAACAAAAAAAAAAAAATACAGTGAAACCTCAATTCATTGTTTTTGTTGAGAGATCCAAAAAAAATATTGATATGGGAAAACAACAGATGCAGAGTCTATATAAGATGGAAAAAGTCATTTGCCTGTTTGTATTTATTCAATCAAAACACATACACCAATAATAGTTTTTTTACTGTCAGATCCAATATATATAACTAAAAGTCATTAATCTTTATTTGAGTAGTAGGACTTTTTATTTCCAAGCTAAACAATAAACTTTCATTAATCATGTTTGCTTGTTCTCATTTGATAATGTGAATATACGGAAATGCTCTCATGGAGTCAAAAGCACAAAGTACTTCAGTAAAACACCATACTGGTTCAGGTTTGTCATTGTTATCACCACCATCACCACATTGCTTGGCAGATAAGATATATGGAAGGTTACATAGCAAACGATATAGAATCCAAACTACTACTTATTATACCATATTTCAAAAACATCAACTTCTATTATCAATGCATACTAATATTTGTATGTGTAGTATTGCTCTTTCTTAAAAACAATCAGTTTGGTATTAACATTTTTCAGGATTGAAAATTTTGAAGGGAAAATGATAAATCAAAGAATGATTGATGTGGGTTTAATTTCCATAGTTTTATAAGATTAGCTCAGAAATTCTAATAATTGAATAGTGCCATTGGAAAAGCAATCCTTCCAGGAATGATAGATCGAGGTTTCACTGTAGATGTATTCTATTATATAAAATTGATTTTTAGTATGCTTTTATTTTCTTTAAGGCACAACAGTTTATGTGGGTGAAGGAAAATTATCCCTCTTTATATGAAAGAGTGAGATATTTTGTAGCAAAAGGGCGTTTTATTCCTGTTGGAGGAACTTGGGTAGAGATGGATGGAAATTTACCTAGGTATAAATTTAATTAATCTATAAAATTTTAAATGCATTTCATTAAAAATAATAATCCATAAAAAATAAATCATTTGCAATTATATTTGTGGTTGTTTTTGAATGTTTTTGAATTTTTATGTACTAATGTTATATTTTCTGCACATATAATTTGTAATATAGTTGTAAGATATTATAATTATGATAGCTATTTTGATGCAAAATTAATGAATAATAATAATATTTTAGTTTTAGTTTTGCAATCTTAAGTTTTATCAAAAATTTCTTTATTATCATTGGAAAATGTATGGTTTTATTTAGCAAAGGCAGATTCCTTTTTTTTTTCTTTCTAAAACTGATACCTTACTCATTAAATTCATGTCCTTTCACTTGGAGAGTTATTTTATGCTTAGCTAAAATCAGTTTGCAGTTTTATTACTTGTTCTGAAGTTAGAGTTATTGTTTTTTTAATTTGTTGGATTTGATATGTTTAAGATACTCAAGACAAAAATCATTAGCATATGTTTATTAGAAATTGCAAACATCAAACACAATCATTCCCTAACTTCTGAACACTTGTGCTTATGAAAACCAAACTAGTGTATGAAAAATTATTTTTGATACATAATGAAATTAACAGATTATTTATTTATTGTAAATATTCTAATCTTTAATTGTCCCATATTTGTTCTGTGTTTCAAATGAGTTCTTTCAATTCTTTTTAAAGGATCATCTTCAGATTCAGCAAAGATAAATTATGTAAGTGTTGTTATACAATTTCAATATTTCTATATTCACTAGTTATTGTTATTATAATGGGTAACTATTGAATTTGAAGTATTGAAATTGAATAATACCATGGTATTCATGGTAGTTGTGAAAAAATAGTGTAGGAGACATTTTGATTCAAAAAATCTGTTTTTTCATTTGTTACTTTGTAAAAGCAATTTTCTATTTCTCTGTACACTTTTGTTGACTGTTCAGCATTAGTATCATCATCCTATATTGTTTGCTTAGGATATTCACAGATATGAAATATTCCATTAAATTCTTATATTATTATCTTAATTTCATCATTTTCAATGCTATTACTCTGAGCTTTGTGTGTTAGTTCAGCATGCAGATTAATAAGTTCATCATCAGAAACATTATCATGGAACTGCAGTAATTCAAAAATAATAAATGTGCATTATATCTCTAACTGCATTATTAATTAATAAACTCCACCATACCTTTAAAATGCAGTCTATTTTAACAAGTTATTGAACGTTTTCGGTCAAATTAACAGACCTTCTTCAGGATCGACATAAAGAATTTAAACTTGCCAAACGGTAATTCCAAAAACGCACGCTCTACAATCTTCCGAGATTCGATTGCGCATGTCCAATAACTTGTTAAAATAGACTGCATTTTAAACTATAATAATAATATTAATACAACATTGAAAGTACTAGTGTGGCTAGTACTTTCAATGTTGTATTAATATTATCTTCAGATGAAAAATATACATAGAACATCAGTATAAACATATTTTTTAAATATGTTGACATATTCTAAAAAAGAACACATATTTGAATCAAACATAAGCCCAGGATTTTTTCATTTGAAAAAATAATAAAGACAATACAAATAATGTTTGAGTCCTTTAAATCTGTAATTACCCAAAAACTCTACTAGAGGACTTTCAGTTAATAAGTGTGATTATACAATAGGGATGCTTTTGCACAAACTTTAGCATTTTAAATGTTTTTGTAGATGGATCCTACAATGAAAGGTAGATGTCGAGATCATTTTTAATGTGTAATTGTTTTAATAGTTTTTATTAGTCATTTATGAAGTTTTTGCTTCATAAATGACTAATAAAAACTGTTTAGTTCCTGAATGGAGTAAAAAGGATTTAAAGGACTTGAACATTGTTTGTATTGTCTTCATTGATTTTTAACATATATGAATAATCAAATGTAAGAAAAATTAAAAAAGAAAAACTTAATGACAGGAAAGAATTTTAAACATAAAAATGACATATACAATAAAACAGGTGGTAGGTCCCCAGAGCAATAATAAGCAATTATTAATCTTGTATTTTACAAAAGATCCTTTTCCAGAATTGAAATGCCCAGGACAATGATGCATGGCACATTTTAAGTGTCATGCATCATTTTATATGTCATTGTTCTTTGCAGGGAAAACCTTTTGTCTTGATTTAAGAATCAATTTACTATGAATTTCTGGTATATAATAATATATCAGAAATTTTAATAGTAAATTGATTCTTAAATCAAGACAAAAAGGTACATTACTACATTACAGTATTTATGAACTCATAATTAAGTCTTTTATTGAATGTTTCAAAACTGAAATAGATTTAAAGGATGTACTAGTGGAACAACAATGTATTGTACTATTAAGGGAAAATGCTATATGTTAACTACTGATGGGAAAATATTAGTAGTAGTAAGACTTGTAACATTATAAACTTTAAAAATACAAAGGAGAGGCACATAAATAAGGTAACAAATGTAACATTACAATTTCTTCAGTTTATTAATAACACACATATAGCTGTACATTGACCATATTACCAATATAATAAATTGATAATATGGTCAATCAGATTCTCACAAACTGATCACTTCAAAATGAGAGAAATTTCTCATAAAATTTCCTGTATTCCTGCTTTATATGCTGACATACATCCTTCAAATCTTTCTTTTCTTTTGTTGTTGGAAGTAATCTATTGTAAAGAGTGGAAATGGAGACAGAACTCGGTTGGTTTGGTTCTTCTTTTCCTCAGAATGACATATCACTTCCATGTTTACAGTAAACTGTGAAGTAATCTATTTGTAAAGAGTGGAAATGGAGACAGAACTTGGTTGGTTTGGTTCTTCTTTTCCTCAGAATGACATATCACTTCCATGTTTACAGTAAACTGTGAAGTAATCTATTTGTAAAGAGTGGAAATGGAGACAGAACTTGGTTGGTTTGGTTCTTCTTTTCCTCAGAATGACATATCACTTCCATGTTTACAGTAAACTGTGACCTTTGCAAACACACAGCAGAAAATCATCATGTAGAAATTTGAACCACATTTCTTGCTTAATTGTATGTAATATTAATTAATGTACAGCATTGTTTCACTCACTTGACAGAGAGGGTTCTTTTTAGGTACTTGTTTACCTCTTTGGCTTTGATATGGCTGTCCAGAGTCTCAGCATTTTCCTTTTAATATTCTTTCACTCAGACATGTTAATCTTTTGTTTTCTTGACTTATTGACATGTTTTAGGTTGCTGAATGAAACATGAATACTCTGTGTCAGCCATCTTATTTGCTATACAGCAGTGTTACAATCAAACAATTCAAGTGTCTGAGCACAAATGCCATCTAGAGATGGGAATTAGACCTGCCAATATCTGTTCTGTGTGAAGAAAGTGCTATACATCAATGTTACATGAAAAAAATCACGTTCTCCTGTAAATATGCTATATAGAATTGTTCTGGGAAATACTTCAGTTTATGAATGCCAGAAAGGCAGTGAATCAAACTTTCAAAGTTTTAAAGAACATAATCCATAGCTATAAGAGGTTTAGTACATGGTTCCAACTTAGACATGTATAAGGCCTTTCAGATAAACTTAGTTTTGTGGTCTATACGTTTTTGAAAAGCAAAGTCATCATTCATAAAGGTACAAGATCATATTATAACATTCCTGAATAGCATCTGTTGTTTAGGATGTTGTCGTGATGCTCTATTAAAGGTTTGAGTTTTTTTCTCATGGCCCTTATAGGCTCAAAACTATATTACATGTTTGGTTTTAGTAATGGAAACATACAAGCACCCAATTTATCTAAGATTGAAAATGTTTCTCTGTCATTGCAAAGTATGCTATGTAAAGGTAATTGTGGTTTAATTGGAAGAATGTCTGAATTTTTAAAAAATTCTAACTGTGCACAGTGTGACTGACTCTAGAAATGCATGGTAGGCTCACAAATGCTAGCTTCTCTCCCTTTACGTGTAACATCATGAGTGGGAAGAGTGATTTTTGTACATGAAAATTGATATATTTGAATTTTGTATGTGAATACCCTGTTTTGTAAACTGTGGTAACCATAAAAGGAGGAGTAACAATAGAGGAGCTCACACCTTTGTTACTCGTCTTTCTTTTAGTTTGGTTCCAATGTTTATTTACAACAGAGGAGTCCCTTTGGGTAGCCCCATCTCGTGTGATCTCTGTGAATTTGTTTTATGCCAGCTTAAACAGGATATCATTCCTTCTTTTCTTTCAAACATCACACTGTATAGGAGTTACAGTACATCAATGATGTACTCATTATCTGGAAGAATAGATCACATTTGAAGGCATTAGTGTAATGCATAAACATTAATTCATGTGGGCTCATACTACAAGTGGACCAGACAAATTATAGGGAGATACATTTCCTAGATCTACTCATTCGTTTGAAAGGTGGTAATAACCAAACTACTGTATACTACAAACCTGAATTTGAACTACTTTACATTTCAGCAGACTTGCATGATCCATACCACTATAAATCTGCAGCATTTGCAGCACTTATCAAGAGAGCACCCTGCACCAGCAGGGTGGACATACAACTTGAGATAGACTGTCTTAAGAACATAGTAACCAATCATGGATTTCCTAAGTGAGTCATTGAGAACATTAATAGTAAGCTTTTGGCTGTGGGACCAATACAGGATGACCAGTACAGACCAACACAATCTGAGAGGAACAAGAGGAAAGAACACCTGATAGTGCAATGTAATTGCTTTTTTTTTTCTCTTACATACAACTACAGTAGATAGCCAGTTTCAAGAGCACAGCATCACTTACAAAGGAACTTTGATGTTAAGGAGCACAAATACAATATATTCAGCATGGAAAAATCACTTCCATCCTCTATGCATCAGAAGCTGGGATTGTTCTGTTTTTTTCAACAAGATTCCATGATAAAATCATTGGTATGTGGGGAATGTAGTAAGGAAATGGATGCCTTTGAAATTTTCAAGGTAAACAGAGCAGGAAATTGCATTAAAAACAA